TATGCGTGCAAATTCCAAGAGACTAAGTGCAATTTTGCTGTAGTTATGACTGTCAAATAAACTGTTCTGGTCTTTCTAAGTGAACAAGTACCAATATGCTCTGGATATGAATGTCACATCAAATTTAGTGAACTTTCCAAACGGAGAAGTACCGTGTTATTGTTGTACGAGTGTCGAATCATTTTTTGTGATCTTTCTAAGTGAACATGTATTGCTTTCCAGTAGTTAATTAGGAAATCATTGTCACATCGTTAGGCCTGTCGGTTTGTATTTACACGCCTGCTTTATAAATCTGTCAGCACGTTTTATAGCTGTCAACAATTATATGAAAAGAATAGACATTTAAATATAATTGGGTTTTAGTGAATTTTATGTATCTTTGAAAGACACAAGACAGTGAGTAAATACTTTCGTTAAACTAACATATTCCTTACTGTCAACACTGATAATTTTTATTTTTAGCGAGGAGTGTAGACAAGTATTTAGAAATCTCTAAATCTCTAAAACCTTTTTGAAAAACAAAAGCAAATACTTTTTCATGAAGAAAGAGTTATGATATCCTTTCCTTTATAATATTTTAGTGAAATGATACTTACGTTGTGATCTATGCATCTTAAAAAAATAGAACATGAATGGACTTCCACAACGGAAGTAGCTTTCAATTGTTGAACACACGTGACAGACACGGAAATGGATATGCATTGTATTAAGGTGTAAACGGTGTTATGGGTAAATGGGTAAAGAGGTAGTGTCACAAGAGAGGTAGAGAAGTATAATATGTTAGGAAACAGGGAAATATTCCAAGTACTGCAACTGTTTCATCAAATCAGTTATTGGTGTCTTTAATTACTGATAAGAAGAAGATACAGAATAAACGTATATTATTACTTTACACTTGCATAAGGAGGATGATTAAAAACATACCATGCATAAATGTTCAAGTAATCCACGCGTTTCCGATTGATAGTTTTTTGGTCAATTCTTCAATGCTTCTGTAATTCACAAAATTAGACAAATTGTACAATGTCGTTGCACAGAACAATATTTTTATTTTGCAATCAAAACTCCTTTTTTGTGTGTAAATTATTATTTGCTTTATAACTGTTCATTCAAATACTGCAGGTTAAAAGGCTAAAATTTCAATCTGCGTAAATAATTGAGTTGAGTTTATTTTTATTCCATTCCGATGTGTGAAAGAAGGTCATCATATTATTTGGTAAAACATGTTAGTATGAGGGATGAATACATGTGTTACCGTCTTTATCGTTACTGCAATGTTGCTATTTAACTTCTTGAAAACAGGTGAGTAGAAGGGATGGATATGTACTGTATATGCATCATAGACTTTATATATTTATAGCGAAAAGATCACCATTTAAATTCGTAAAATTCAGTTACTTAAGGTATGAGTTTGTATGATGTATTATAGCATTTCATGCCGTTCTTCCTTGCTGAAATGCCACGATTACATTTTGTTGAAGTCTATTGTTCCTTTTGTACTACCGGGTAGGTCAATTTTAATCCCACGAAAACGAATGCTTTGACAGTATGGGAAGCCCACACACGGATGACACAGACAAGGTGACAGTCTGAACACGCTGTCGACATATTTATCAACATGTTGTGCGGCGAGTTATAGATATGGCACCCTTGACATCAGTACTTCTTCTGTGGCATTTTTAACATGTAACTCCAATAACACTTAAACACTGTTTGTTTTTGACACATAATGGCTGTTTATCCTTACTTGAACAGGTGCGTGGCCTGCGTTAACATAACAGGCTGACTCCCATGTCTAACCTCTTGTGTCAAGGTATACACAAACATGTCAACCCCTTCACCGTATTTTCCAGTCGGAATCAATACCGGCATAGACACGACGTTTATTATAGAAACAGTCTTTATTCAAATATGGATGAGTATAAGAAGCCAAGTCTAGGTTTGCTGCTCCTCTTCCACTTGTATACATTTCATTTAAAATGGCATGTTCAATGTTGTAAAAATGAAGGTAGTCAGGTCGATAGGAAGACGTGTCATGTAGTGTGGTTGTTTTTTGTTTATCTCATATCAGCCCAGTTTGAAGTGACATACCGCAATAGTAGTAATGTAGGAGGGCACTGCAAATAAACTTATCATAGAGAAATACGTTTTCGGGAACGACCTTCAATGAATGAAAATATACGTCTCATCGAAACTGCATACAAACTTGATTTCGCGCTATGCAATCATAGCGGTTTGTATAAATATGCCCTTCCGAAGACGTGCTAGATTCGCTGATTTACTCATCCCGTAAAAGTCAGGAAAATTAAACTTTCGTGAAATATAAAATGATTACAGAAGGAGACAAACATAAGCCATTACACAACCCGTTTTTAGAGTTGTATTTGTACGACGACGTGAGCGATGCATACCACCCTGTACTAATTATAGTATTTTCATTATCCAGCCAGTATTTGAGAGAGCATGTATTTGTTCCTGTTTTATGTTCACAACTTTCCGAGAAATCCATTTGTCATACATTTTATTTTATCAAAACTTCTATTACTATCAACACAGTGGAATTTCCATTTAGGAACTGACGTACCACCCCATGCTATCACGTGATCTATAAATGCTACGACGTCAATATATCAAGTATAAAACATTCAATTTATCAAATGGTGAATCATTCTTGAACCAGACGCATCAGCAGTTCTACGCCATACTGTAAAAACAGCACAGTCTGCCTTATATGACCTCACATATGTCTCAACCTGTACATTTTATATATGATTTTACTTGTGTTATCAGAAAGGTTTGGCATTATAACGATTACTTTGGCCTATCCTATGTTTGCTTTGTATTTGACATATTCATTTTTTAACATATTTTGGATTCCTCTTGACTTTTAAGTACAACAGATTGTAGGGTTGACGCACCAAATGCAGGTTAAAAATAATGTACCTGCTATGTCTATGTTCTATTGCATTATCATAAGAAACTGCTGTAGGTCTCCTGAACAAGCGAGTTTGTCCTCACTGCCATCTGAAAGGGCACACCTTAAAGTTCATCTGAGGTAATAAGTTATAATAATTGGTATCCCATTTTTTGTTTTAAGTTTCAACCCTTTTTGCAAAGGTTTGGTACTTCAAGTTTCCTTGATAGTACCTGTAGTTATCATTATCTAAATGAGACCTGTAAACCATTTTTTTTTGACCGTGGTTAATTCGACTTATGACAGTAAAAGGTATGTAAATATGCTAAATTGTAATTAACCACATCATTAAAGTTATTGTTTAAAGGGAAGTTTGATTTTTATAACAGTCTTCTTCTAGCATTTTCTACAGATTTATTTATTCAAAAAAATCATTTAAATATTAAGAAAAATGCATTTAAAAATATATTGTTAATTCATAAAAGTTTTCCTTTTAATGACTGGTTCAAACGTCTATGTGCCTTAAACACAACATGCTTTTGCATCCTTAAGGATCGTCAACTTACCGATGCGTTAAATTAAAAGAAACGTTATGTTTGATATGTTGGTATTTCTAACAAAAGAAATCAAGCGTTTATATTTATAATTACAAATGACACAGGACGTAGGATTATATCCATACAGCTTTATTCAGAGAGGGGTCTTTTTAATGTAAATACTTCGTCAAGTTTTCGATGCGTAATACGGTAATTGGGCTCTTGAATTATAAAATACACACACACACACACACACATATATATATATATATATATATATATATATAACATTTTCTGTATACACTCTAGAGCTCAGTTACCGTATTAAATATATATACATAGACACCTTATCTATATCAACTACATGTTAATCCTCCTTTGACAACCGAGCGCAATTTAATCAACCCAGATCAATGATCTATTATGTATCAGCGTTGAGCTCAATAAATACACGCGGAATAATACAAGCATCTCTAGAGATATACTGGCCGTGATTCAATACTTCTCATTTTCATGAAAGAAACGACCGCAGTGAATGTAGGTTTACTAAGGGCTTGGGTATGAATCAAACGCGTAGGGGAAACATGATTAGGAGTCACTCATGGTTCAAACTACAGTACACGAGATTAGATCGGATGAATTTTTTTATTTAAAGATGTTCATAAAGATCAACCCAAAGCTTTTAAAAGCGAAACAAAAAGGATAGATATCCTTACTATTAAAACTGCACGTTTAAGATAGATGTTGGGATGAGAAAAATCTCAGGAATGGTATATAAAAGCACGGTTAGCCTTTGAAGACAATGCGGAGGGGAAATGTTAACGTTAGATTATCTGATATACTTTCTGCATTGTGAACAATTACAAAAGGAATATTAGAAAACTAAAATAAAACCATTCGTTTCATGAATGATGTGTCGATTATGAAAAGTGTGCTGCGTCGTTATCAGGCAATAGATCAGCCATCTTCCCGGAGGGATGTACGACGATTTATGACGTTTGATACAGGTTTAGTTTCTTCACACATTTACGTTATCATTTTCACTCCTTCACGATGATTAAAACGCATTTACCTATCGCACATAGAGTTATATTACATACTGCAGTGACAGCTCTTTGAAGTTGATCTTCATACGCAGTTACCGGGCCCACCCCCTCTCCTCCTCCTCCTACCAGACGCACTGAGTAGCATATAGACTCCAGTCTTCAGCAGGTTATGCTCACTCCATATTTCACTCCCGATTGTCCAATGTGAATACGAGCCGTCGCGGGAGTGTGTGTCTGGGTACCTGGTCTGCCAAAAGCTGCCACACCGCTGTCTGTAAGAAAGCGTTCGATCTCGCGTGAGAGGTGGGTGTGAGAGAGGATATAAAGTCTACTTATCCACAGGAAGTATTTTGTTAAAGTAGCTAAAAGCTTGTAGAAAAGAAAAAGAAAAAAAACCACGCTCTTTCTTTTCATTTACCTGCGAGTGATAATATGACCGGTGAGGTATATTTAAGCAGAGGGTATTACGAGTTGTGAGTCACTCTCTCTTGGTTGCCCTTACAGGTGAGGACAGACCAGCATCGCTCAATGGGACGACGGGGCCCTGACGAACTGACGGTCACAGAACAGCAGCTGTTACCAAGCACCATCATACCGTCGTTACACTCTTCATCCCTCTCATTCTACTGTAGGAGCTGACACGTGTGTTAAAGGACTGTATCTGAATCTTTATAACAAATACGCGTCATTTTAACTGGAAACCTGGATTTATATCTACATATGTATTTCAGCGACAAGGTACGGTAGTCTTTCTTCTTCAACAAATGAGTAACAGTATTTATTATACGTTATTCGTGTTGTCTAGAATGTGTCTCACTATTTCTATTCGTTGATGTTATGATATAAAACAGACTTCCATAAGGATATTGTACGGTCGGTGTTATCTAATACAGACACTGTGCTATGCGAAAAGCTTAAAAAAAGTGAAAACATCAAATTATGTAATACAGTGCAGGAGAGGCCGTTAGGAGAGCGTTACACAACACAGAGATATTTCAGGTCCATCGTCATGGAAAAAGACTGAAGTCTTGTCATATTTTATAGACGTATAGGCGGTGAGCCTTGTACTGTGCTATTTATTGTTTTATTTTTTGTCTTCCTTGAACAACTACAAAATTTCACGTCCTCAGGACAAAGTTTTACTTTGAAAAGAAATATCAAGAATGCAGTAAAGCCTACAATTTTTTTTCTCTTCTGCCCACGCTTGGTTAAGAAGACTGTAAATGAAAAAGTGTCGGACGTTATCTGAATTCCTAGGTCACTACGTAGGCCAATCCGTTAAGGGGAAGAACGTGCATATTCATAGAACGTTGTGAAAGGCCTGCAGTAGATAGATTGAAGTTAGTTAAATGTACATGTTGGATCGATAGGTGATTTGTGAAAAGGGATTTACTAGCGTTTGATCACCAGTGTGAACACCCTCCAATGAACATCATGAGGTGGCTATTTCTTTTGACTGTTCTGGTGTCAGTGTTGTACCTCGGACAACCAGCTAGCTTTATGTACGATGGAATTGGATATCTGAGTGATGGTGAATCTGTTGAATGGATTGGAATCAGGCCTCATAAGCCGAAATGTATTGATATACCAAGCAATCTGACTCTGTGTCGGGGGATAGGGTATACGGAAATGAGACTGCCGAATCTCCTGGACCACGATACCCTTAACGAGGTGATTCAGCAGTCCAAATCCTGGGTATCCCTCCCTCGGATACATTGTCACCCAGATACCCAGCTCTTCCTCTGCTCTCTCTTTTCACCTGTCTGCCTAGAGCGAACCATCAAGCCATGTAGGTCACTATGTGAAAGTGTCAAGTCTGGCTGTGAATCTAAGATGCTCTATTATGGATATTTGTGGCCGGAGATGGTCAGATGTGACAAGTTTCCGGACGATTCTGACCTTTGCATACAACCCCAGCATAATGTCACCTGTAAGTATATTTTCCGTCGCAATTTTTTTGAATGCATTTAATGTTTTCATTCATGTTTTATTGTTATGCGTTTTGCTTTTGTGTGTTGCTATTGTCTTCGTTTAAATGAAACTGTTTGCATTTTAATTCTGCTATAACTTGATTAAATTGATAAGTTGTGCCCTTTCCCATTCGTTAAAGTGCTTGTACGTAATTTTCACAGGTCTATTTCAACTTGATTTATTATTTCAAGTCCTGTCTGTGATAGTATATATTCTATGTTTCAGTTACCGTTTTTTTATATTTTGCTCAGATTTGAATGGATTATTCTATCGAGTGTTACTAATTTCTTGTTTGCAAGTATTGAGAAGCAACAGTAAGTTTTGTATTGGATAAATGTGGTGCTATATTGTTAGCTTAATTTTGGTACCTACTACAGGTTCTGCAACAATATATATACAGGTTTTACTGCAAAACAAGACATTTTCGTTGTATATGTATATTTGTGGTTTTTAGGAATAAAGTGAAACCCTGAATAATGGTACAGTGAATAATTGTAAAGCTAAAATTTACACAGAGCTGGTGACCGCGAAAATTAACTGTTTTAAGCGTACAATCCCCAAAGATATTACTCGTTAATGTTCACGTTATGAAATTTACATATAGTGGTTGTGAAGAGATCAACATTGATGGTATACGTGTCTGGTATTTACCATAAAGTTTACTACACATTTTCTTTCTAAAGCTCTATTTAAACGTTGTTCATTACCAGCACCAGTATGATTCAGGTGGAGTATGGATTATGTCAGCAGGTGTTAAGATATAGCCTATTATAAGTGGTTCCATATGGTCAATTAGCGATTAGTGTCTGGTTGTAATCCTAAGATCATTTACAAGTGGTTTTAGGGGCCACCGAAAGTGCAAATGCTCTTGTAGGAAATATGTTACGTTAGTATTGTTTCAGGAAGCCGGACATTTGTCTCTTTGTTGAAAAAAGGGATTGCTTTGTATTATGCACGTTCATGATACACATGGCACACATACAATATATATGATATATTCTGTAAAAGCCCGTACTGTTATAAATATCTAAATTTTGAGAAATTAAATTTTGCGATTTCATTCGCTAGAAGAGTCAATAGTAAATTAAGGTACTTGCGAACACCCTTTCAGAAAATTGATATAAGCCAGGTTGACATACCTGTGTTAATTTCATTTAGTTTATGCAAAGTCATGCGTGAATGGATCGATCAATCATGAAAATAACTGTTAAAATAAAAAGAGTAAGAATAATTGAACGTATGTTTCAATAACAAACACAACAAGAATATATAAAATTTGTTCAAATGTATTTTATCAATATATCTTATTAAATACGTGTTTGTAAGAACTTTATACTATAAGTTGATATTGATGTTCTTGCCTACCTGAAAACAAACACCGGTGTCATTGTGTGATGTGTACATGAGAACAGACACCGGTGTCTGAGTGTGTTAAATGACTGACCAGGCGCGACATGTCAGGTGTCTCGTTGTTCACAAATGTCGCTCCCCTGTGTCGCCTGGTTACCCTTCCAGGTACACATTCCATAATTCAGTAGTTGTGACCTGCTCATAGTAAATACATTTAACGTCATTGCGGCTTTTCTCTTATTGAGGTGTATTTAAGGACATATCCTACATAAAATTCCTATTATTTGTGAGTTGGCTTCCTTGAAACAGATTAGTTAATATCATTTATCCATTTTGTATAATTACTGTATGTTAATAATGTACCTTCAACTATGTCAGCAAGATTGAGTGACCATTTATAAAACATATCAGAACAGATTCGTATCGTGGAACTCTTGTAAATAGGAGACGGAAGTAACAGTACAATAAAATTCATTCTTAACTTCGTAACTTCTATTGAGACAATCAGCCTCCACTTGTTCCTGTCCAATGCAGCATGCTGCTAATGTCAGCGTTGACTCATTCTAACCCTCGTGAAGTGTAATCAAATAATCACTTTTGGATGTTACTCAATGAGTACGAAACACAATTACTCAGGTCATACCTGATATTGCTACTGTCTTCAAGTCGATAAGTAATAGGATTAATAAATATGTATTTGAAAATACAAAACTGTCTCTCAAACAAATAAGAATGTGGAAGAAATGTCTACAAAAATGAGGTATATAGTTAAATAGAATAATCGATCAAATGCTATTTAAATTATAAGTTTTCTTGCAACAACTAGGCGAAAAAGGTTGAAGTTGGTGTATGAAGTTCTGGTGAATAATTGCCGTGTAATCGCCGAGTGCAAGACAACCTATGTTCTGTAATTGGAGGTATGTCTAACTTAAGCTGTCTAGTGTTCCTCGCCAGGTGATGTCCCTCTTTATACCTCTTTTTATTGGATGACCCATGCAGAGTATCTAAAATCGGTTGAAAATGAGCAGGTTATCCAATAGTGTCTGTTTTGAATATTTCATAAAGACATTTCATTTTCCAAATATCAATCGATAAAATATATCATATGGTACTAGTTTAAACGTATGAACCCTATCCACGTATATATTACTTCTCTCGATGGCGTAGTTGGCAGTTTACGATTTTTTTTCTGTTGAGACAGGCTACTAGTCTAAGGTTACACTGTTAAACTCTCCTTATGTTGTTTTAAGTGGTTTCCTAATTCAGTGTTTATGTTATGTAACTGTGGTTTGCCAAATGTGTGTTATCTAATTATGGAATGGCGTTGTGTTCTTGTGCTGTGTGTTGTTCGCTTTTCTAGTGCATTATTTGCGTGTTTCTTTCTGTTACTTTTACACGTATTTCACATGTATTAAGATTACTGCACTGTCAAAAATCTGATTCGACAATTTGTAGGAACCAACCAGTTGTGGTTGCTTTCAGTAGATATATACTTTTCGAATAATTTGGCTGCTCTTTCATCAGAAATGTAAAACCTTTTTTCCACCATAGGTTTTCTCGCTCACACCTCACTGAATTAACCAACTAGAAGTTTGTTAACATTTTATTTCGTTGGGTAATCTTCTAATTATGACTTAAAGTATCACTGCCTTGCGACGTCATCTTCCATTGTGACGTCAAAACTCAGGGCAATGTTTTTCCCGATTGAAAAGGGAAATATTTTTTTCACAAAAAACACATATAATTTTCTTGATGTAATTTCTGAACGTTAAGAATGAACGTCCCCAAACTCGTGATGGTGAATCATTATGTTAATTTAACTCTCGTAACTTATCTTTTAAATTGTAAATGTCACTCGGTAAACCTCGTATCTTCATACAATTTGAAAATCAATTAGCTCAAGTTAGATAAACATAATAACCAACCATCACTCGTGCGGGATCCTTAATTTATATCTTCAATTATCTCAACTACTTATTATGCAAGTAATTAGACGTTGATAACTTGATTTACGTACCTTGGTTTTAAGTGGATGATCATGTTCTCGTTATGTTGTCTTTCTTGACAGCAAGATTGCATGATAATCTTGTCAGATGTTTCAGAGTGTTGGAAAGTTGCAGTAAAGACGAAAGCTCTGACATTTCAGGGATCGGTTTAAGAAGATATACAACATAATACCTTGTTGTGTGGTGCTAAAATCGTACTAATGAATCCCGTTATTTGTGTATGTTTAAACCACACATACATCGTCCTGATGCCTTTTTTCTATTTTGGTGTCAACTGAGTTCCTGTTTTTCTTTTTATCGATATCAAGTTTCCTTTTTTGTTCTTGTGCGTTGACGCCGAGAAATAAACATAGTTACGCTAGTAAATCTGTTATAATTTCAGCCTTTGCCAATTAGACCTTTTGTCAATATTAGAATAAACCAGAACTCTGGCAAAAGAATAAAACTTCCTGAAATCATTTATCTGATTGCTCTCCATTTTGTTTTGGTGTTTCTCTGTACCGTGTCCTTTACGACAGCCACCACAACTGTTACAAGACTGAGCTTATGTACGTACATTCTGTCTAGTACACACACCATTACGCAGTTAGTGATCTAGTTTCCTCCCAGCTGGATATTTCTTGGTGCTTGGGTAAAACGATCTACCATAATTAACATAATGGGTGCTCCTGAATATGCGAATGGTTCCCAATGATATCAACATCTGAGATGAAAGCAAACCATTGTTTGTACCTTGTAACATTACGTATACTGTATATATATTTGATTTTTCGCTTTGCTTTATTCGCGTTTACGTGCAAAAATAAAAGTTCAATCAGTGTTAAAACTGCGGGTTTGAGATTGTTTTGTGTGCTGTACATACATACATTTTTAGGTTGTTTTGTATGTTTTAACATTTTCGGAGATTGTTTGATTCGTTGTAAAATTCAACTAATTTGTTTTTTGTCACACTGAATTTAATTAGATTTTATAAAACAAATAACGAAAATAAGACCGAGCCGAAAAAAATTGCTGTATAATGTACAGAAGGCATTGATGACAGTGACATCAGCACGCATTCACAGATATCTCGATACGTTTTTACTCTGTTACAGCGATCAAGTAACTGATTGAATTTGGCTAAGATAGACTTAATGTTTTCTCTAAACAGGAACTCAAAAAATCCTACTTGAGTTTATGATAATTTCATTTCAATTAGCTAATAATGAGTTTTTTTCCCTATCAATTTTGATATTATTGATGTTAAACATTTTTGTAAGTAAGTTTGATTAAGCACTATGATGATGTTGTCTATCGCGGAAGGTTTAAATTAGCGGTATTGCCCATTTCACCATTTATTCAGTCCATAGGCATTGATTGAGGCATGATTTACGAAACCTCCTGTCTGTCTAGACCCTTGTGAAACTTATGCGAACCAGACTATACCTGAATGCTATATGAAGTGTATTATAAACAGGATTTTACAATTAAGTGATGTGAAATGCGTCTTAATAACACAAAGAAATCGTAATTAAATACGTTATGTATTTGAGAGCAAATTAAGTAAGCATGATATTTATGTTGCTGAAGATTAAAGATACAAATGGATATATGATTTAATAAT